GAGAGAAAGTTAGAGACGACAGAAAGTTAACTAGTATGAAATAGTCATTAAAGTCTCACTCAAAAATTAAACAGGAGAAGACTCATTTTTGAGGACTTTTTTGTTTTATGGAAAAAACATATCAGACACACATTATTGTTCCCAGCAAACTATTTGTATATGCAGTATTACATAAACACGTTTTTCTAAACATTTATTGGGAGAATTTGTATAGCTTTAATGGACAGGTTAATAGTTAAGAGTCTGCCATCAAGGTGCTCTAACGCTACCTGTTAACCAGCAGTCAATCTGCGGTAATGTTTATTTTGTCATCTGTCAAAACCATAAGGTTAATCCAGGTTAATGGCAACAGCTGTGATTGTATTCCCCTTTACTGACATTTAAATTACAGAGGAAGTTTGAAGCATCGGAAAAAAGTCCTTCTTAGCTTCAAGCCCCCCACCCTTATTGGGCAGCTTATGTCATCATTTTGGAAAAGCTCATACACACTGAAAAACCAAGCCGGCTTTTTAAGAGTTCTGCTTTCTGGAGACAGATTTGAAAAGCTCTGTTTTAGTGTGAATGGAGGGGTGAAACAGAGTTAAATGGTTTAATGTGAATATACTCCTAGACTGTGAGAGAAAGTCAGAGGGAAATGAGAGAGAACAGAGGAAGTGTCCGAGCTATTTGCTATCATATGAAAGAAACACACCCTCAATCAGCACATGATGGCTGCATGACTGACAACATGACTGCTGCTTTCTATGTGTGTGTTTCAGGGAGACTAGCACTGTTACACTGGTTATTTTGTTTTAACTGGACTCACTGGACTCTTTCCTGACAGCAGCATCGTCTCCCTACAGCTTATCTGCTCCATCTCTTCTGTCTTCCCGTTCATCTACTATCTGCTGTGACCTCTGACCTCCTAATTACTTGCTGAGCAGAGGTTCACGGTGACCTCAGTGGAACGAACCCACAGCCAAAGCGAGGCTTTCGGTGCTAGCACAGCTGAATGAGCAGGACGACGGTCAGTGTGTGTCCAAATAAAACCTTCAATCTGAGAAACTCTGCACTAATGGTTTCTGGTCTCTTTGTAATAGTCCCTGTCCACACTGAAACACAAACAATACAAAGTCTAAATCTCTTGTTCTTCCTTTCGTAAGTAAAAAGCAGCCTATCCATGACATCCATCACATGGACAGAAATGGGCCAGAAAGTCTGGTGAGTCTAAAATGTCCTCAATTAATGTTTTGTTTCTCTTTTCATATCTGCATCAGTTAAAGGAAGCACATAAAAGTTTCCTGTTAACCAGGCAAACACTAATTGACCATTTCCCAAACCCATCCCCCCAACAGCAATGGTTCAACCAAACTAGAAGAGAGATACTCTGCCTTGAAAAAGGTTCGGTGTCTTTTTGAGCCTCTCTGAAACAAAACACACAAGAGCAGGAGTGTAAGGAACTACCAGTGTGTTTATCTGTTCTAATGTAAAGTTAAATTGTTAGCATGTCTGGCTAATTCTCTTGCTACCAGCATTACTTCCAAAGCCAAAGAAGCACATTATTAAATAACTGCATTAGTTTGTGGGGTCACACGTTATGTTTAAACTACCTCAAATCCTACTCTTCATTGGATTTGAGGTGGTTTACACTCCAGTAACCTCTTCCAGCATTACTCAAGATAGTGTTACATTTGCTACACTCAGCTGGTCTTCATCCTAAAGCTATTTGTCTTGTAAAGTTAACAGTGAACACGTTTGTAAGCTAAGTCAAACAGGTATGATAGAATTAAATAATCATATTTATAATTCAAAATCAGAGACTACTGTACATCTTTGCTTTATTTCCAGGTCTTTTACATGGATCATCACCTGGTAATTAAAATCCTTATCCCTCGTTGGCTAGCAGGTGTCAGCAGGTCAACAACTGTGATAAATCAGTGCTCAAAATATTATATTAAAGTCAGGTTAACCATAGAAAAGATACTTATGCTTCAATCTTATCCAGTGTGTAACATTTAGGAAGATCTATTGGCAGAAATGAAATAGAATATTCATAAGTATGATTTCATTAGTGTATAATCACCTGAAAATAAGAATTGTTGTGTTTTCATTGAGCCGTTTTTATTTACAGAAGAAGCTGGTCCTTCCCTACGTAGTCCGCCATGTTGAACCGCCATGTTTCTACAGTAGCCCAGAATGGACAAACCAAACACTGGCTGTTTCACGGCCACCGTAGTTTGTCCTACATGCTTGGATGGGGAAGGTAAGGCAAGGGGTATTCAATTAGTTGCAATCTGCAACTTTACCACTAGATGCCACTAAATCCCACACAGTGGTTCTTTAACCCACAGTTAGGTTAGTTTCATCACTCAGTTAAACTAACTACAAACACACTTTAAAACAATTAAACAACTTGTCTTTGGTCAGTGTACGTGGTAAAAGAGACTCCCACTCACACACAATAATGGCTCAGGGAGGAGGAAACATGCTCTGTGTCATGTTTTTATATATATATATATATATACAACATAAGGAGTCTCAAAGTGTGTGGGAGGGTGGGAACAGTAGCTGGTCAGATTCCAACATAATAACTGTGGGGTCATTAACAGGAAATACCAACAAACACACTCAGTGAATGTGTATGTGTGTGAGCGTAGCATACAGTTCCTGTCCAACATTCAACCAAAAGTCTGTCTGCTGCACAACTGTCTTTCTGTCTGGAACTATTTTTACCTGAATGGTTAAAATCAGTTGTGGTAGTTATATAGTGATAGATAGAGATTAAGCTTTTTCTCTGATGAACAGGACCAGGTGATCTTCAGATTTCCTTATGTTGAAAAAAGTTTGCTATATTCCTTTATGACTTTATTATTATATACAGTGTCTTTTCTGCTGATAACCTTCAGATATATGGGTCAGAGACTCATAAACATGGACAATAAACAATGTAAAAAATGCTCTCCCTCTTTGCTTTTCTTGGTGTGCCTCTGCTTTATTTACTGATGGCTGGTTGAAGGTCTGGAATGAATCACAGAGCGGTTCGATTTCCTCAGTTACTCTTTCACGACAAATATTCTTCCCCCGAACTTCAACTGAACACCAGCCATTCATCACTTCAACCTCCAAACTACTTATAAAGTCATTGTTTACTTAACTTTAGCATGGGATTAAAACTGTTTGAGTCACACAAAGTAGTACTTCTGTAGAATTTATTGTAGTGAATATTTACTCAGAACAGCTGGATGGATTATCTCATTGACCAACTGCAGTAACACAGAAGAACTGAAGCTGTTTGTCTTCACACTTTTATTCTATAATTGTGGCTCATGTGCTTTTTTTTTTTTGGTGTCTGGGTAACAAGCAGACAAAATAACTAACAGTGAGCCTATACCATATATAGTCTACTGGCTGTATTTAGGCACAGCTGTGATTTCAGTCAGCTTGCTAACATGTTGAATAATTTTGTATTATTATAAATGAAATGAAACACAAGCTCCGCAGCAGTATATAAATGAACTATAATTAGCTCCACCTTTACCAGCTGCAACATTAAAGTGATGAACACAGTGATGCGTCATCAATAAGTATAATCCAATAACATAATATATATTATTCTAAAAGGAGCCATTCTACATAAAGAGTACTTTACTTTTGGCACTAAGGTAGGTTTTTATGCTCATATGTTGGTTGGCCTAACGTTTTTAATTCAGGATTTTTTGTATTTCTGCACTGTGAATTAGTACTTTTACCACCTTTCTTAGCCCTGCCAGTGGTGAAGTGATTTCAAAGCTATCAGTTCATGCAAAATATCTCAACAATCAATTGTTGTGAAATTTTGCACAGATTTTCAAGGTCCCCAGAGGATGAAACCTCAACTTTTAATTAACACCAGCAGCAGTTCAAAGTTCCTACTTGTGAAATATCTCAATATCTACTTGATATTTATGGCTCCTGGTCAATGTATCCTAATCAATCTATTGATCCTCTGACTTTCCCTTCTGCACCACCTTGAGCTGGACATTTGTGGTTCAGAGTGATATGTTATTATTAACTATTGGATGGGTGGCCATTCAGTTTGGTACAGCCCAA